AATTAAATCATGGCTGACAAGTCATGAGCTGGAGGATGAGCGGGGTCATCTCCAACAGGTAACAAACCACTTTTCTCGGAGGTCAAAAGGTCGGGAAACGGACACGATGTTCGCAAGGTTTGAGTTGGGATCACGTCGTGCCGTTGGCGCACCTCATCCCCCTCGTTAATCCATGCTGGGAGAGGAGTATCCGACTCGTAGTCAACTTCCTTCAAATTCTCAACGAGGAAATTTGTCGCCTGGGGCAAAGCGGTCTTTGGCGCTCGGTTGCCGAGTACTTGGGATGTGCTTCCTGTGAACTCGCGGACGTAATGTCCGGAGGTGCACTTTGTGTAGAAGAAGAAGGGCTTTGCTCGCGGGCGCCCTCGGAACCAGCTAGACTGGGTGTTGTGCGTGCCATAGACACAGGGATCATTGAGCGGAGAATAATCAAGGATGGTCTTTACAACGGAATGGTGTCTCAGACACACGGCCTGATATGAGGCGACATTGAAAGTGAATTGTGAATACTCACAATTCTGTTGGGGGGAAGTGTAACGGGGATACACGTACCCTTGTATAATAGGGCGGGCCACACGAGATGATGTGACCGTACAATACACAAGTTGGTGTAATCACACAATGGTGTGGCTACACCGTAACAAGAAGCCACAACGTGACAGGTTTGCCAGTACTTAATGCTTTTTAAGTAGGGTTTACTATATTTTAATAATGAAAACCTGAGATTTTAAATATTGGTGGCTCTGCCGCAACTAAAACAAATTTATGCAGTTTCAATTTTGAACGGAGTAGTCTCCTTACCTTGGCTAAGGTTTAAGAAATCTTGGAGGCGCTGCACATGTACTGGTTCTTATAAAGAGCGTAAGGTCGGTGACCTTAGCTTTGCTTTCTCGAAACAAAGAGCTACGATAGCCGCGCTGCAAGTTGCGTACTAAGTTTACAGACACGCTGCAAGGCTACCGTCCTTTTCTCTCCCGATGAAATAAATTGCTAGCAGAGTAGAAGACTCCTCTTCCATTAATCAGTTTGGCTATTCTTGTGAAAATTAGCACTTGGTGTTACCGCGCACTTTGCTACGTCACCAGCTTTTTTGATACAAAGTGAAAATTGAGATCACATATTTTGGTAAATCGCCGTCAAGATGGTTCAGCACAACTTATCGTCTCATCCCCTAGTATGCAAATTAAGTGCGATAATCTCCAGCATCTCGCCAGCTATCAATATTCAAAATACAGTTTTCTTGGAGAGTACGGTATACGCGACCATTGGTGATCTAAGCACAGGCAGTACTCCTGAACAGTTGTGAAGTGTGTGTTTGAAAGTGCTAGTGAGATGAGTTTCAAAAGGTCCGCACGCATAGACGTGTAAAAACTAAAACAAAATGTGGTAAAAAATTAATCTGCGTGATGACATCTGAAAATGGGTGCCTCGAGCTACCTAATTCAGGTCCATCTAGTCATCAACGCAATATGCACCATCGTAGGCTCCGCGGCGGGTTGGCGCGACACAAATAGTCGAATGGAACGGGCGCAAAATTTGTGGCTCGGTCAGAGGGTAGGCGAAGCGCAGACAACGTATTCCTGTCAGTGAACGGCTCAGCTTCTCGTTTCGCGGTGAGGCAGGGGTGTCCCGTCAGGACGTGGACTATCGCTGCGACTGTTCTTATCGTATACTTACCACTGTGGTGGTCAAGTCGTCAGTATTAAGGGCCGCCATTTTTTTCGTTGGCCCATGAAGCGATGTCATTTTGTATATGATACGCGCGACAAAACACCGGCACACTTCATACATTTCAACCGAAAGAGAAGGTGGCTCTAAGAGCGCAAACGTTTAGTATTAACATAAATGTAATACGTGCGAGTCCACGGTGCGGCATACAGACAAAAAGATTGCCCATTTTCTAGTTGCTTGGCTGGGGTCTGTCGCCTCCGCTGCGCTCAAAGGCCCTCTAACTCCCGCATTCTAATCGACAATGTGGCAAAACTGCACTCGCATTCGAGGTGAATCCACCGCATTCCTTGACGGGGTGGTGTAGACGAGGGGGGTCTTGGAACAAGCCGCATCGGTTTGTAGACCTCCCTCAAATTTGGTAAACAGAATCAAGTCTGGGAGAGTGTTTACCACCATTTCGGCGATGAGAGCAAATTTTGTTTTGTTCTTGACGGAGGACAGAAGTATGGTCATACCAACCTCTTATGTCGAGGACGCGTGTTTTTGCCGCGTCTTGCTCTCGGAACGCTGCACGCTAAGCCATTGCGGGAACTGGTATTAATTTAACGACTGTTTAAGGTCTTGCTGAAGGTGTATCGCTTGCGCATTTTAATGCTGGTGGACGCCTCCAGGCGAGCAAATGTCACCTTCGATCTTGGGCCGACAAACAATTATTCTACCTTCTCTGAGACCAGCTTAACACAGACACTTATCAATTTCGCTTTTTGTCCCGTGAAGAATTAGTCGAGCAAAACATGTTCCACATTTACGAACGATCTATCACGACTCCGTTGTCGAATTAAGAACAATAGTTTCTAAGTGCGACGGTGTTCTTGTGCACGTTGCAACCAACGCAACAGAAGAGGGTTTCGTACTTTTCACTTTGGAGAGGAATCAAGCCTCTCAAGTAGTAGTAGGACAGTTAGCTATTTTCTTCGACATTTATTTTTTGGAATGAAGCCATAAACTGAATCTTAATATATCCGCTGTTAGAAAATAAGCTCGCGTGCTGCATATCATGAGGCTTGCAGCCCACGTCTGTCACATCTCTCACGTCCCTCTCCTTTCCAGAGTACCATTTCCCTTAACCGTACCTCACAATACTTCTTTGTTCTTCATCATTATAAATTTGTATTTCTGAGTTTGACTCGGACCCACAATAACTTACGCGTTTTTGAATTTCATATAAATATTTTTCCCCGCCCCACGTCTGATATTCTTTAAAAAGAGCAAACGATGGAACATATAAACTATAGGTCTGATTACGGTTATAGAAAAACACGATTCGTATTTGGCGGATTCATAACATAATTCAAGTATTTTCTTGCGACCATAATTAGAGGAAGGATACTTAGCAAATCCCAATGAACGATTTTTATGGACCAGCAGTTTTGAATCGATAAAAATCCAGCATGGATGTGGAATTGTATCAAAATCCCAACAACTGAAGTATCAGTAGAAACGCTTACCACCGTTTTTTCTGTAGATTTGCTAATGAAAGACATATCTTCATGCAATAAGACTTTTAGCTACAATTGTAATTCTAAACTCGCCAATTTGTTGCTGTCGAAGTGGAATCTATACGGTTAAAACTCGTTCAGTCCGAGCAGATGACTATGGTGCCGCTCAATACATCTGGCAGCAAATCTTAGAAATTGACACGCAGCGAGCAAGTATCGGACTCACTTATCTTCTTGATGAGCCAACGTTGCGACGAACGGCGGTAAGGTCGGCCAAGCAGATTTGCTCTTGGCCCTTTCCCGGAATCGCCATTTCTCAAATTCTACCAAAAATGAGTCTCATATATACCGCAGCAAAAACTTTGCTCACGCTCAGTGCTGTAGCAGTCGCAGCGCAGAAGGCACCAATACTCGCTCGCCATGGTTCTGATAGCACATCATTAGTGTTTAAAATACTGCAATTGGCTGACCTCCACATCACAGGCTTTCCGACCGTCGGCTGTGGAAAAAAAAGTTTACCAACGGGCATGACCAGCCAGGACTGCTCCGAGGCGCTAACGTATAAATTTATGGAGCAATTGCTGGATCTGGAAAAACCTGACTTTATCGCGTTCACAGGTGACAACGTACAAGCACTAGATCCCACCTCTCACAAAAAAGCTATTGACGCCGTGACAAAAGCGGCCGAGACCCGCAAGATTCCGTATGGAATGGTTTTTGGTAATCACGACCAAGAGGGAGATTTTCCACGAGATAAGATTCTTGAAATGGTTTCTAAACTAAGTTACTCTTACACGGCGGGCGGGCCAGAGATTGTAGACGGCATTGGTAACTACATGCTCAATGTGTCGGCACCTATAGCGGGTGCTTGGGGAAGTCAAAATGACACGGTCTTTCGCATGTACTTTCTCGACTCTGGTGCAGCAGCACTTACGGATAAATACCCGTACGTCTACTCCGAGTACGATTGGATCAAGCAAAGTCAAATTGACTACTATCGACACTTATCAGAGACTGGGCGCTCGGAGCGACACCGCAGTATCGAATCTGTGCTTCCGGCTGTGATGTTCTTTCACATTCCACTGGTCGAGTTTGCATACTCGAAGGACAGTTGCAATGGTGAACAGCATGAGCGGGTGCACGACCAAGGGATGAATTTGCGCTTACTGTCTACATTATCCCAAATGAATGAAGTCAAGGCTGCGTTTGTGGGACACGACCATGTCAATGAATACTGCTGTCTAGTCAGTGGCGTCCAGCTTTGCTATGGTGGAGGTACTGGCTTTGGACGGTCATATAGTGCACCTGGCTTTTCACGCCGGGCTCGTTTGATTGAATGGACGGTGGATAGCAACGAGCGCCACGTAATTCGTAGCTGGAAGCGACATTACGATGACATCAGCGTCTTACATAGTAAGGAAATTTTATATTCGGAGCTGTAATAACTCGGAACCATCTTTTGCAGACTACCAGTTCATAAGCACAAGAGGCTACAACTCCTAAAGTCAATCTCCCACCAATCCTCGTAGTACAGCTTTCATTGTGTGTACTAAAACGAATATTTTGTCAAAGAATAAGAAAACATTTCGATTTATTATCTGGACACTTTGATTTCGCTCGTTTATGTTAAGATAGTCAGATTTCAACGACCTCTGTCAAAGAGTCCGCATAATGCAACAAACAGATGTTATGTTCGTGTGTTCCACCCAGAAGCAGGATTGAGAGTTTCCAAAGCAACTCATCGCTTAAGTTTCTCTGCCTATTCAATGGTGACATATACTAATAATGCATTCTATTTTCTTTTACTAATACTACAATATTTTGTATTGCGCTAACAGGAGAGCGTAACAGAACCAAGTAGTGCGTGGAGGGAGTGCCTCACAGAAGTAAAAAGCGAAAAACTTGAATCAAGGAGTTATAATCCTACATTCAAGCAGATAAATGATACATTGCACGACCCTTCTGGAGGAAATCGTGTATTCCATGCTTTACTCCTCGTTGCAAATACAGAGGGCTATATCATACTGATATAAGGAAAAGTAAAAGTGCTGAAGTAGGCAGATACTTCAGGAATATTACTACCAAACTGATCCACACAACTGTAAGCAACAGGTAACAAGGTTACCTGTTGCTTACAAGAGATTGTGGTATTGACAGAAGCTATTGACAGCTAAGAACTTATTAGACAGTCGATTAATCAATTGAGCTCTGGGAGATACCAGAGCTTGCAGTGTCGCGGGTCAAGTATTTTCTTAAGCCATAAGCGGCACGAACAAGCGCTTGACTCATAAGCAGTACGGGACGAAGGCGTGAGAGCAAACAGGTCTCCAAGGCTGCGGTGAGATGTCGCGAAGCACCGTCACTTAAGACCTCCCGTCAATTCCAGCTCCCAACGCAGGGAAGCGAACCGCAACACCCGAAGTCGTCGCAGCCGCGATAGTGCTGTACGACACAGTCAAGAGATCTTGTACTCCTCCGTCTGTTGTGGAAGTTTGTTTTCTCGTTGGCGCACTTGCCGACAAGAAGGATCTTTCTTGCCTGGTCAAGTATGGTGAGTCCAGCTATAAGAATTAGCCGGTCCACGTGCACCTTTGGCGATCAGAACAACCCAAGCCCAGTCGATGGTGGATATGCAAGCACGCACGTACGTTACATCTCCGACGGGGAAAAGACAACATCGCCTTCATCCACTTTAAACTCGCCAATGCCGTACACTTTCCTTCCGGAATATGCCCCATCCCTGCAGAAGGCGCGAGCCTTTGATGCGCGCCATTCGCGCATCAACAACGAGGAGAAAGTGTAGCCTCGTCAACGACCAGAATTTTTGATAACGAACCAAACTCAACAGACAGATGCTGATGGTATTCGATCCGTCCATGGTCAGTACCCCGCAAGAAAATACTAGATTGTTGTAAGGGTCGATTGGTTCAGGGGTCACTAGCGCGTGCTGTGACCATGTCGTATGGTTATCAGATCTGTGGCAGGTTCCTCGTACCTGCGGATTCCCACGCCAGCGCAGTAGGTACTGACGCTATGAACCATCTGGCCTGATTGTTCACCAGCTCCTGCACGATCCGCAATTACTCGCCCGGGCTATTCATGAGGACATGGGTGAGATAGAAAGGCCTCAGCATGAAAACCGTGCTCATGTTCGCTCCGCTGAGGATTGGCGGATCCGGCTCCACTGCTCGTGTTCAACTCGAGGTTAATCTGCGGGAGAAGATCGCCACCAAACAATTGCTTTCGCCGTCAATTGGATGAATAGCGGGGCGTCCTCAACGCGGCGTAGATCGCATCCGGAATATGGATAGTAGGCTGCGGGCGGCCCAGTTGTAACTAAAGAAACTCGAAATTTTCAGCAAGTCGGTTCTTGAACACCTTCGAGAACTGAAGGTATTGTACGGGGGAAGCAACCCAAATAAAAAGCAGGATGTGGCTTCATCGTAGATGGGAGTTTTAGTGTGTACATATTGTCAAAGAAGTGCATATAAGGATTGGACCGATGAGTTTTGGTTGTAACTTTCGAGTTACCTTCGTAACACTAAAAAAGGGACGAAATTGCCCACACTAAATCTCAACATTCTTCCGAAATGATAAATCAGTGATGCGTTGTCAACAGTGCAAATTGGTGTATCCGACCTTAATTTATATGAAAAACGTTGTGTAAGCCAAAATTTACTGATTATCAGTACATGTCGACTGGTTGTCATTCTTGATGAACATGCCGAGTTATGTTTGACCTTACGACACTCCGGTCAGTGGTCTTCGAGAGCGTGTAATGTCATATATCATGCTTAGTCAGATGATTTAATGGTCACGATTTCCGCTTGTATTTTTGTACCTAATAGATTTGTGTAACGGGATTACACGTACCCTGGTATGAAAGGGTGGGTCACACAAGATGGTGTGACTGTACAGAGGTGTAGATTACACAACTCGTTGTAATCAAACTATGGTGTTTACATCGTGACAAGAAGCCACTACGGCTATGGTTTAACTATTTAACTAGGAAAACTTAAGATTTCAGATATAGGCGGCTCTGTCGCAAATAATACAGTTCCAGCTTTAAACGGAAGAGTGTATTTGCCTCGATAATGTTTTGGGTACTCTTGGAGGTAGCTTACTGTGAACCGCTACACTCGTACTGGTTCTAGTATAGAACGAAAGGTCGGTGACCATAGCTTAGCTTCCTCTAAGCAAGGGGCTCGGCAGCCCCGCTGCAACCTGACAACGCGTGAAACAGCACCAGCTCTTCACACGCTACCAACATTTTTCCCTCACCCAGTGTGAGTACTCGGTCTCAATCGACATTGTCTTAAGGTTTCCACGGAAGTCCATAGCTACACCGACATTCTGGTTTTTGTCGATCGTTCAGCGAGATATTCCACCTTGCTGTTGTTCTAAGATTAATCACAGCGGATAATTGTGCTCAAATGCTTGTCAATACTTCATTTCGACTACACGGCTTACAAAATAATTTGGTATCGACCGGGATTCACGTCTCTTCCCTAAATTTTGTCAATCCGCGACTTTGAACACGGTTGAGGATGTCAATCGCTGTCAATAGCTGTCTCACTTCATATGAATGTTCAATCGGGACACACGAATCGAGTTGTGAGGAAGATTTTTCTAGATCACACCCATCTAAGCGAGTTCCTGTGGATGGCGAAGTTCACCATCAGCAATTGAGTCCATGTGTGCTTGGACCATACTCTTACGTGGATGTCGAGCCTGTCTCTTCCTCATTCGGGATGGCAATCATCAGAATGTCGGCTCTCACACATTATGTACACCTTTCGTTGCAGGAGACCTTTGTCCCGTGCATATGCGCCGCGAATTTAGTCTAGTAGTGACGAAAATGGCGCGCTAAATGTGCCATCAACATTTGTTGACTTAAACTCTATTTGACGCGACAGTGTATTTGCAACCACTATGAGTCATCTTGGTTTGGTCTACGGAGAAATTATGTTCTGCGATGAATGACAATCACCTATCTTTGCAAGAGGAAGGGCCATTTACCGCCGTTCGCAACGACGCATGACTCGTAGAAATGATCTGTTGCAAAGTAGATGTACCCAAAACTTTGCCAATGTGTGCTTCATGGCAAGAAACTTCTTGTCGTGCGCCGTATAATCGTGCTCAGCTTATTTTGGCTATCGTAGAGGTAACATACAACTCGTTCTGTACCATCAAGCGCATTTTGTTTTAGGGCGCAGGAAATTGCAAAAATACTAGCATCACATACCACGTGGAATGGTCTTTCTGATAGACGATCGCTAGAATTGGCGCTTCTACCAATCTGTGTTGGACGAAATGCTGGCAGCTGGCATCCTATACCACGTGGAATGGTCTTTCTGATCGGAGATCTCTAGAATTGGCGCTTCCGCCAAGCTTTGTTGGAATAAATGCTGGCAGCTGGCATCCTAATACCATACAGCATCCTTCTCTAATGTTTGCGGCAACGTGACTGTATCTGGAGTACTTGCGTGAGTACATCCGCAAGTACGCGGTCTTACCAAGTAGCTTTCTCAGCTCTTTGACGTCGGTAGGCGAGAAACAATTCTGGATTGCCTTGATTTTTCTGGACTAAAGCGGACCCCATTCTTGCAACCACACATTCCTCAAATGATATTTTGCTGGTTGCAAAAAAACGCTTCTTGGCAGGCATTTGTGCTGACGATCAGCGTATACACCACACAGAGATGCTTCTTATGCATCTTAAGGTCGGTCGTGCTGTGAACGAATACAGCATCAAATTAGATCGGAGCGAATGTCCAAACTGGACTGTCACACATCTATTTTATGTGGCTGGAGCATTGTTCAGCCCTTGTAGTATCACTAACCACTCCCAGAGCATGTGCCTACCGCTAAGTACTGGATACATGAGGATCTGATATAAGCTATCTTGTAGATTCAGATATGAGGGCCTAGTACTCTACATTCTATTGTTAATGACCGTGTCTTTTCTCGGTATCGACGTTTGCACCGGTCTAGGTTGTTCACTTATATATGACTAGACCTTTATCAGTCTCTTTCTAACATCGTAAAGAAATCGTAGCCATTAGATGACGTCAGATTCCTTTAAATTTAAACACAATTCATACACTATTTCTTCCGAATTTCTATGCGTGTTGTCGTAACTTTGGTACGAAAAGGCAAAACCAATGCAGTTGTCAACTATACGACGTTTCGATGAACAAGTTAACATTATCCTCGTTGTGGGTTACGCTGCCTACGGCCGCAGTGGCTGCTGTCCTTGTGTATCTGCTCATCCCGGATGAGCGTCAGCGTGCCATTCGTCATCTTCCGGCCCCCGCATCAACTTTGCCTGTGCTCGGTAATACGCTGGACCTTATGAGTCTGAAACTTCCACGTCTACACGACTGGATTACCGAGCAATGCAAGATCTTTGGTGGCCGCACGTGGCGATTAAAAATGTTAGGCGCCCCGCCACTTGTAGTGGTGAGCAGTATCGAATGCTTCGAAGATATTTTACAAACACAGTTTAAGGTATTCGATAAGGGAGAGCGTATGAACAGCATCTTTCGCGACTTGGTTGGTAATGGGATTGGAGCTGTCGACGGTGCACAATGGATGTTTCAACGAAAATTACTAAGTCGTCTTTTCACTATGCGGGCATTTCGAGGGAACATCACTGAGTGCGTGCATGATTACACTTTGGAGCTCGGCCGCAATCTTCACGAGATGGCACAAACGGGAACTCCAATCGACTTTTCTGACGTGATGCGTCACTTTGCTTTTGATGTATTTGCGGATGTTTCCTTTGGCTTACATGCCAAATCTCGTGAAGGAAAAAAACATACGCAGTTGATGAAGGCCGTGTATGATATGATCCACAATATTGAGATGAGATTTCACTCTCCGGATTGGCTATGGAAGTTAAAGCGGGCACTCAAGATCGGGAGTGAGAAAGAGTTGGCGGAAGATGTGGCGACGTTCGAAAAGACAGTCTTTAAAATTATCAACAAGAATATGAAACGCAAGCTCAATTTGAATACCGCAAGTGACAAGTCATCCCCGCGACGTCTACGGACAACGAAAGATGTCGTATCATTATTTCTAGATGCTCAAGACGTATTGAATGGTGCGGACGATGTTGAAATTAATGCCAAGGTTTTACGGGATATTGCTGTCGTAGTGCTTCTGGCCGGCGTGGACACGACAGCTTGGTCTTTGTCATGGCTCATTGTCATGTTAAATCGGAACCCACAGGTCGAAATAAACTTGCGCCTTGAATTACGTGAGAAACTGCCCCAATTATTTAGTGATCCCACATACGTACCGACCATGGACGATGTGGATGGTCTCGTGTATCTGGAAGCCGTATTGCGTGAGAATTTAAGACTGAATCCAGTCGTACCGCTAAATGCAAAAGAGGCGAATCGTGATACGACGCTCGTTGACGGCACTTTTTTGAAAAAAGGAACGCGCGTTTATATTCCGTCCTATACGCTCGGTCGCATGAAAAGCGTTTGGGGCCATGATGCATCTAAATTTAAGCCAGAGCGATGGCTGATGCAAGATCCGTGGACAGGCGAGCGGGTTATCCGTCCAGTATCGGCGTTCCAATTTGTATCCTTTCATGCTGGACCACGCACGTGTTTAGGCATGCGTTTTGCGATGCTTGAGATGAAAACCGTGACCGCTTACATGATGAGTAAATACCACTTTACGACGAAGGAAAATCCCAAGAGCTATACTTACAACGTGGCCTCTATACTTCAGATCAAGGGTCCTCTGATTGTTAAGATACAGCATGCTGGTTAGACAAACTGACTATTTCTCGTGAAATAGCTGTCAGTCGCATTAATGGAGCCTCATCCACGATGTCGAAAATCAACTTGTTGATGCTCTCTAGTGTCTCAGATGAGCAGTGTATGTGTCAACCTATTGTATGCATTGATAAATCTCAATAAAGTGTTTGACTTTAGCAGTGACAAATCACTAGCAGGTACATTTGACTACTATCCATCCAACCTTCCATCCAACCTTTTCATTTTAGAAATCATGCAGGCACAAAGGGATCACTAATCTGTAAAGTTGGCTAGGCGTGAACTCTGTCATACACCAAAAATGACATTCGTATTGATTGATCCAATTTCCGTTGAAATAGCAATTGAGAGAAAAACGTTTCTAGTGCATCCCATACTCCTCAAGATCTGCGGTATTGAGCACAAGTAGATGGTTCTTGTGAAATAATTTTCCTTGACATGAATTGACGCATAATCAGCCAAGAAATTCCAACGTTCCAGTAAGGCTTTACATTATATGCTTAATAGATAGCCCGCAGTAGACGACTACCATTGCAAATGGACGTAGCAGCGATGAAGAAGCTAAATTCGCTCTGTTTTTGATTTAGAAATCGGAATGCTGTCAGCTCAGCAACTGTAACACCACCGACGTAGTAGACGAGTACATTCGTTCGATTTCCACCGCTATTAACATTGAAGTTCGTAGACGCTTCACTTGATATACTGTTATGACTACTAAATTCGTTTTCACTTCCAATGCCTGGATTCAGCAATGAAGACGTCGAATCCTTGGCCAGCGTTTTGTATTTCATCCCAAGTGATTCTTGCAACAAACGAATGCTTAGGGGTGCGTATCCCGTGTACGGAAACATGAAGTGAATGTCTGTCGGATATCTCGTACCCTCATCATCTAGCACACCTCGCATCAGTGAAAATTGTTTGCGCTTTTTTGGAAAGTCAAAACGATTCTCTACAGACAGTAAATCCATTTTTTCCAGTTGTACGAGTAGTGGCAACACCTGGTGTCCATAGGTGTGGCAAAGCTGCTGGCGATACCACGCTAAAGTTTCTGGTTTGAATTTTCCACGAACAAGGGAGCAAAGACAGAGCAACTTGACAACATCGTAGAGATTTAACGGAGGTTCACGCAAAATGGCTTCTTCCAGAAAATTGTCTACACTTTTCGCTCCAGCGGATGAGACCCTTGGTCCGGCGCTCATCATAGTCATTTCAGTCTCCACACAACCACGAAGAGCAAGTTGCGTACTCAGATCACGGACACGTTGAACGAGCTGCAAATGGTGGGCTAACGATCGCTTTTTCTTCACCAAATGAGGTGCTTTTGCCAGCAAAGCCTTCACCTTTTGAAACTCAGCTTGGCTATCCTTTGGAAAACCGGCATTTGATGCTGAAGATCCACCGCGCACTTCGGTTGCCAAGTCTTTGGCTACGTCCACCAGCTGATTTGATACTAAATTAAAGTTGACGTCACGGATCTCGTCAAAGAGCGCGTCAAGATGATTGAGCACCACCTTTTGCGTCTTTGTTGTCGATGTGGACTCTATTTTCATGCTGCCAACGCTATCATGTCCCTCTTCATTCGACATTTCTTCTACTTCCTTTTCATAAGTAACAACGCCATGATTAACTCCAACTAATGCATCCAGCAAACCTTCATACGTCATTGGCGTTAGCAGCATGGACAAGGGATCTTCCATACGGTCAATAATTACCAATTTATTCACAACTGTGTTGATATCAGCTGCTTCTTCACTTTCAGCGGTAATTTGACTCAATCTAATCTTTTGTTGCTCTCCATGAGCCAGCTCGAGCATCTTTTTGGCTCGTTCAGCAAAGAAGCCATGACACGTAATATCGGCTATTCTGCGTCCCGTGTGTTTTTCAGTTGCCAGTATACTCTTGACGACAGTCGATAAGGATCTACTATCTCCCTTTACGTAGAGCTCGCCAAAGATGCTATCATGGCACAAGGCCGCGACACCACGGTCCACAGGGATCAGACCTAAATCCAAATTGGCCTGGCGAATATAACCTGCAACGCCTTGTCGCTCCATTTCCAAAGTAACATCAGACGTAGCTGCTGGAAGCCAAAGTACGGCGCAACGTCGAGTTACCACAAGCTCTAGAGGACGCAGGGCGTCCGCCACACGCTTGGCAACTGTAGGTAACGGCGGGGCTATTACAACAATGTCCTGTGTCTTGTTGTCATCTCCTCGATTTAACTGCAACTGATCAAAAATACCCAATTGTCGCTGCAGCTGCACTGGATCACCAGTCTGAAGCTGCACACTTAGCAAGCGAGAGATACCTAATTTATCATAAAACTCATTTCCTCCTGAGCCGTAAGCTAGTAATTCGAAAATAACCAACTGAGATGAATCAACCGCTAGAAGCACTTTGCGATGGCTTGAAGGTGATGGATCCATAATATTTTTAATCGACTGAGTAAAAGCTATCAGCGCGTCCGTCTTGAGCGCATTTTCCAGCTCCATGACCCTGAACTTGAGATAGTATTGTACTCTCACATTATTATCCAATCAAATTAGAATATATTTATTCAATCCAAATAAAAGATACTTGAACTCAATCTTATGATGTCAGAATGTTACACTTAAGAAATGGAAGATTCAAATTTGTATCATATTTGTTAAAGTGCGTGATATACATTTGTATTTAATTTGTGTTACACTTATAAAAGTTTGGAGTTATCAGGGTCATTGTAACGGGGGTTGCACATACCCTGGTAACAGGGGTGTGTGTCACACCAGATAGGCATAGTGTGACCACACCCAGACAAGGAATACGGTACAGGGCTGGATAGCCAGTAGTTATACATGTATATAGATTTTACTGTACATATTTAGAAAAATCTATACATTTAAAATTAGGCGGCTTTGCCGCAGATAAAAAAAAATAAAGTCAGTTTTGGATTCAAACGAAGAAGAGTTAATTAGCCTTGGGTGAAGGCAATAATTACTCTTAAAGTTAGCGGATTGCGATCCCTAAGCTCGTACTTTTTAAAAACGAAAAGTCGATGACCTAACTTACGCTTCCTCAAAGCGCAAAGCTACGGCGGCCCCGCGGCAGATATGATGGAATTTCGTAAGGCTTCTAGTCGAGCAATACGGAAAGTTTTACATTAAATATAACGAAAAATCATATTTAGTATCTGTTTGAAAACAGGGAGCGTTAATATGTATCACTCTTGAATCAGCAGAGCAATCTAGGGTCTTCACAGTCTTTCGATTTCGTTCATGGGTGAAGTGTACGGACTCATATTATTTTTGCTTTATTCGCGGCTGTCTGAGCCAATGTGCACGGAAATCCCGCTGTATTTGTTAGCAACAGTAGTCAGCCAAACGACCACGCTATCCTCTGAGAAGACGAAACAAGAGGTGCTCGATAGATTGTACCTGGTGCAACCAGACACGCCTTAGAAGCTTGTCGATTGTTTGTCCACAAAGAGTCAGAAGACTGGCAGCCCGAGGGTCAAAAGTGGCGATCAGGCGCCTGAAAATGCTCACCAATAAAGAAAATGCGTTGCTGAGACACCCCAAAACGCTCAAACTGGGCTTCGTTGGGGAACAGATGGCACCCGCTGTGAGGCCGCTTATCGTGAGCATTTAACCCTTTGAGATCTATTCTTCCGGAAGACGGGAATTGAAATAGCCACATATTCATCAATGTTCCAGACGGAGTAATAGCAGGCTGCACTTGCCGTCTCCAAGCATAAAGGCCGCGCGCAAGAATAAACACTAGCATGCAGTATTTTTGTGAAAAATGCATACTAAGTATGAGAGAGTTCAAATTGTGTTCGTACTGCCTAAAAGATGATTAAAATAGTTATCATACTCTTGTCCAACTCAAAGGACTGACACGACTGTCAGTTCGTGTCCGAAATGCGAACTTGAGGAAGCGGTGTGTATCGCATTTCATTCGTGCCACAGCTCTCGTGCCAAAAGGGTCGCTTTGAACCCCGGACGCGAAAACATAGTGACCGCGACATAGGAGATAGGCCTTACAGGCCTATCAGGGAGAAGGTGTTGCAGAGGAGCAACGTTGTACTCCCAAATGTTCGTGGTATAGCAAAATTTATGCGTCTTGTGTGCTCCAAAGGATCAATCTCACAGACCAAAATTGTTAGCTATATCCAACACCTTCGACTTTGAAAACGCTAAATTTCTCGTAATTGGGTACGGCGCGCAACCGCCAAGAACAGTAAATCTGATACGAAGGTATTATAGATGCCAAATACAGATACAGTATCCCAATGTTGCACGGCAGGGGTACGAATGAGGGAGCCAAGGGTTCTGGTGAGCCCTCAGTCCAATTTAAGGACTTTGACAACATATAACGCGATCTCATTCTGGACTGAATTTGACATATGATCTCTTTTTGAATGCCAATGGTCATGGACCGAGTGGAATTCGGAAAGGATAGATACAAAGCACTTTCCGTGGGGATTTGAAAGGCCATTTAGTTACCTCCTAAAAAAAAGCAGAACCGTTTTGGCGCCGGAACTAAGCAATGATACCTTCTGTGCACGATTTAAAATTGTCCGAATTGTTCAGCAATATCCATGCTTAGTGCGTTCAATAGAAGTTTTGGATGGCAGAAGCAGCGTTGGGTTTCTGTTCAGTTTGAGATAAAGGGAAGCGATCGCATATGGAGGTCTCAAAAGTGTAGCCCAACAACAAGATGAATTAATGGTTTCTTTAGTGGGATGATAAGTCCGAGTGGAAGCTGGTGTTTTCTGTTTTCTATATCAAACCAGATGACAGTAGAAGCAACAGGGTGATGCGGTCTCTAGGTATGTAGCTGATGAAGTTCAGGGTGTATATAATCTGCGAGCTGAAAGACCACAAGCTGAACTTATTACGAAAGACTGTCGTGTTATAACATAAGTGTACTACTGCACAGCAGCACAATTTGATGTGCTTATAGCGCGCAGTGAAGGACCACAATTTTGAGGCGATAATGTTATTTTTTTGCGGGCGGAGCGACCGGGTAATCCTAGGGATCAAAAGTCTCTCCTTTACTACATTCTGCTTGAGTTCTTATTAAGCTCGACTGAGTATTTCTAGTGACTTATTCGGAAAATAACCGTGGGAACGTCGAAGAAGTGCAGTTAGAGTTACGAATGATGGGCGTACTTATCACGGAATTTTGCTCATTCACTGGTACTAAACGCACCATTCCGCTGTTTCACCGCACTGAAATAGCTAGGTTGCGTTAGAGAAGGAACAGAGTTCTTAATTCGTTATGTGTAAGACAATCATTCGGGACTCTTCCGTTGATTTGACTGCGAAAAGTAGGTGGCTAGTTGCAAGGATCGTACGGTGTCTTTTTATGATATCACGACGTGGTAACAGGAGAGCTAACACGCGTGTGATCCCCACATAGGGGATACCATATTAACTTGCCTTGTATCGGGAATCAAACACTGCATCAAACGGCATGGTCCTTCCAACAGAAGTGGTGGGAAGTCTCCGGTGTAGAGCACAAATCAAGTTTGGTTAAGCAGCGTATGCAACACAGCCTACATGAGTAAAAGCAACTCACTCCAGCACTACATACTCTCAGCGCAATTGCTTTGAAAAATTATCCTCACCTCGCGACCGACCGTTTCGTCTGACCATCTTTCTGCGGCAAATATGCCCCTTCCAGTGCAAAACATCATATAACAACATTTTGACATTTTTCGCTACAACCTTGCTGAAATCCGCGGACCTCTATCCTTCGCAAAAGTTACCGGCAAAATTTTTTTGCGAAAAACCTTTGTGTGGAACAGCTTAAATACATATTCTAAAAGGCTTTGTTGTCGCCTACAGCAGGATTCGGAGTGAAGTGGTCCCGGTCTCGGTGATGGCGTTTGTCGATTAAGCTGTACTCTTTGCCCCTCGACGAGATCCCGTGTTTTACGAGGGCGATCCTGAGCACTGCTTCAATCTTGCTCTTAAAAGCCATTCGGATGTGAAGTGATCGGTTAGTGACGGAACAGCGTGTCTATCACTTTTGTTAAGGAGCTTCCGTCTGCATTATGGTTTCAAACCGTTGGACGCTCTATGCGATTTCCGTAGCTTGGAGGGAATGCTCAAATGCTGTCCTTCCTCGGTTCCAGCCGGTCGACGAGACTCATGGAGATAGTCGACATGACATCAAAACTATGAGAGTTTGCAAGAGCCATCTTGGGAGGATCATTCTCCATCGGTGCCGAGCAAGAGACGTCCCAATTCTACATCGAACAGTCAATAGGCCGGTTGTTACACCAGGGATATTACTAGTATCTGTTGAAGCAGAAGGAATAATCACGCTCCAAGACGTAATAAGAGATCGAAGTCTTACTTCAGCAAGACTGCCCAGGTACTGTTGCCGGATAAAAAATTTCGCACTATCTCCTTGGATGAAGCGACACTGTCACCCAGCGCAAATTGCTTTTTACTGGAAAGAAATACGTGACCTTATTGCAGAATTCAAGATTCGATCGGTAGCTGAACAACTGCCGCATCTAGATGAGCGTAGCTATCAGCAGCAAAAAATGATATGGTGATAAATTTTCACTTTGACTTCGCTCCGTGCTTTCTTCGGAGCGTCAATCATTGAACGACAAATTGGATGGACATCTGCGTCACTGAATCTGGGCTAAAATCTATTAAAAAGGTAAGGTGATGTGTTTTCTTAAAACAATGCTCGAATTGAGTGCGGTGCTCTTCGGCGCTTTCACCAGCATTCTGTGCCACAGCATCGGTGTCAAAGAGAGGTTAGATCTAATCAAACGTTGCTGGACCAATCGAGGCCGAGACATTCCCTGAAGAATGGTGACATGGGAGATCAGACGGCGCTCGTTTCGCACTCGGTTGTAAGCGAAAGGCCCACATTTTTACGGGATACTCTATGACGTGGAGAGCACCATTAAGGGATCAAGCCTATAATCATGAGTTGATCGAGTCGGTATAACTTACTGCGACTCCCGCGCCTAGCCTAGGAAAGGGGCTAGTGATGGTCCCTGAGGCAGGCCCAGCGCATTGGGCTATCTGGACGTCATCGTGTGTTGTGTGGCGGGGTGTCTCTAAGCTTTTACTATGGGGAAGGTGCATAAAACACGTAAAACTTGCGGAGAAGAGGCGAAATGTAGCGATTGCCTCTTACTCAGCAAGCAGCCCTGCCCTATGTCACTAGATGAGGGCAGAGATATTGGGTCAGAGATCCCATCAAAGAATACCACGTTTTTTCTACATACAATGGATTTTTAATCGTCAGAAGCTCATGCAACCTTATGAGGGTATTAATCAAAAAACTTTTGCCTGAAGTATTCAGGCACTCTTAAGTGTAAGGAGTGGGTTGAGATTCCGGTTTCGCTGAGCGTCCACTTTAAAACAATGTCGTAGAAAATACAAGTGTAAGCCTCAGGGTGGTCCACATCTCGATGAGGAGGGATTACGTTTTAATTATATTTTCAATGCGCATGTACATCGACGGTAAACATGTAAATGATTATGTCCTGTAATATTGTGTCCAAACAGATAACGCTTTGTGTGATCGTGCAAAACTTAATATTAAACTGTTGTGCAACTGTACACAGACCAGAGATATCAAAGCATTGCTTCTGTTGAGAACGAAGGGACTCTGTAAATGAGTGGTCTGTGGGATTTCTAGGCTGAAAGCCTTAAGTCATACAATTCATGCACTTTATGATCGAACATGTATTGGTTGATCGTAATTATATGGCACTTCTGAAATCTAAAAAAGAGCAAGCTATTTGATACGCTCTCAATTCTGCTCTGGGGGCACCGTGTAAGTCCATTCTCTCTACATTGTAAATTTGGGCTTTATCAGTCAAAGCTTTCTTTGTACAAGGTACACAGCACCCCCCATTGCAATTCTGTTCATTATTTTAAGAATGGACATGAAGATAGATTTAGATACGCTAATATATAATCTGTCAGTATTACTATTTTCAATAAGAAAGCTATACGCTTTGTGTGCTGCAGGACCTGAGGCTTGTAGCCCTTGTGTCCCGCGGCCTTTGGGTCCTATTGTCATCATCGGTACTAGTACTTTGATTCACATTACACATTTGATGTACCCTTTTTAGACTATATTATTTATTTCTCTTTCTTTAATCTATGACCTAATATCAAACCATTAAACTCTGGAAGTGAACTGAACTCTTTAAATAAATTTGTAGCCAGAAGTCGACTTGCGATCGGCATGACCATCAGCCCAGTCTGTATCTGAACATCCATAGAAGTCAACCTTGTTGCCGGGCTTTCAACAAATACCTAACGACTTAGTCCCTTGTACTTAGCGATAAATCCTCTTTACCGCAATCCAATGTTCAGCTTGCGGGTTCTCCATGAAGCGTTAAACGTATCCCGTCGCAAACGCAAAATCCGGGCGTGACGCTGTCATCAAGTGCATAAGGGCATCCACAGCTTGCTGGAGTTAGTTGAGTGTTTAAACCCATTGGACTAACCACAGCTTTGTAGTACTTTATGCCAAAGCGCTTGAGAATGCCGTCAATGTAGCGGGGTTGGTAAAATGTTACTCTGCTGTCGACGTTATCCACGGCCTCAATACAATTAAAAAATCACACTTGCCGGTATCCGTCATCCCAAAACGAGCGTTAAGACCATGTTTAGCTTGCGCAATAAATTCAAGCAAGCTGCCAGTGACCAGGACATCGTCGACGTAAACAAGTAAAAGAACACATTGTTCATATGCGCACTTGCTGTGTAAGCACGAATCAAATGCTGTGACTTAAAATTTAATCAAGCATACAAAAGTGTCAAACGTTTTATTCCATACGCGAGAAGTTTGTTTAAGGCCGTGAGTTGCCTAGGTTAACTCTAAGCAAACAAAATCACCAGCATCTCCACTCCTTCTGGTACCACACATTAGACGATTTCTTTCGTGATTCCATGGAGAAAGCCTGGTATAACATCCATCTGATCGAGCGGCGAGCCAAAGTGTCTTGATAAGCTGATCACCATTGGTAGCGTAACATACTTGACTACAGGCGAAAAAGTCGCGGTGTGGTTGATGCCATATTGCTGTTTAAAGCCTTTTGCGACGAGGCGTGCCTTGTATTTTTCCGATCACTTTGCGCTTTATTTTAGATACCCACTTGGTTTCAAAAACTTGCTGACCAGTTGGAAGCATGACAGCACGGAATACACCACAAGGTTTCATAGAGTCCAGTTCCGCACGGATTGCCTTGCGCCAATAAATTTGGTTTGGTCCGTTGACATCATCTTGGTATGTTGTTGGTTTCGAAAGGTCACCGACTTTAACCGAGTCGGCACTATCCCACCAAAACATAGGGGCGATTGTAAGCCATACGTTCAACCGACCGACGCTAGCTTGTCGCTCGCTTACATATTCAGGTGCACTTGCTTCTTCAAGTCCAACTTGATTACGCCGGCCTGTTGTAATTTGTTGGCTTGTGTTTCCTGTGCAAGGAAGCTTCTTGCGTTTTCCTTTTGACTTGAAATTTGTCGGGTAGTGTACTCCTTCATCCCCGCTGTTTACCGAGTCAAGGTCGACACCGTCATCATCACTGTCAAGTTCGCTAGCACTTGTAGCATCTAAGCCAAAGGCTGAGTCATCAAAGTTTGCATCACAGCTGATCACGACTCGTCCCGCCTACATATCAAACACTCAATAGGCCCTAGATACCTTCCCGTATTCTATGCCGGGAGCATTTGTATCCCACTTGAGCCGCTTCTCTTTTGGGGTCAAGGCAAATGTCTTGCTGCCAAAGACTTGCATGTACTTTACGCTTGGTTTGGTCTTTCGAGTAACTCTAAACGGATTTCAAAATTGTAATCGATGGGAGTCGGTACTTGATGTAAATAGCAGTCATAGCTGCTTCACCCAAAAAACATTTGTCCAATTATGCGTGATATAACATGCTGCGTTCGACGGTAACAATCGTTCTGATAGCGCGCTCCGCTGTACCGCTAGTTTGATGCGCATACGGGACCGTTATTTATTGCTCGATACCTTGATTGCTGTAGAATGTCCTGAACGAAATGTGCTGCGAATGCTCGAGCTCTGTCGTGTCGTACGAATTTTACTTGTATACCGAACTGGGTTTGAAACTCGAGAATGTAGCTTGTACTGCAATCTTCTAACCCAGAATTGGCACGCAAGCAAAAATCTTTCATGCATCCACTTGCTTCGTCGACAATGAGGAGCAAGTATCTGCTACTCCCCAAAGAGGTTTGCTCGATGGAACCGCTAATGTCAAAATGGAGAAGCCCACACGTTTCGTGGCGGCGTTTGCCATTATTGCTCGGTTATGGTCTTTGGACCATCTTTCCTTGTTAACACCCACGACACAGGTATTGAGAGCTTGATCTCGGAGGAATCTTTTCATCCTTGCTGTTAATCACATTGCGTAACTCATCACCTGGGACATGTCCCATTTTTGCATGTAGATCGTTGCTACGTGTTGGCGCTACAGAATTTGTAGAAAACTGTGGAGTTCAAATCAATATACCCCGTCAATGAGATCAGCAGTTGCTACAAGTTGCTGCGAAGTTTTGCGCGCAATGTGCACCCGCTAGACGTCAAACATCACTTGAAAAATACTACTCTTGCAAATTTGTGGTATTGAGAGCAAGTCTTTGTTTATCTTCGGTACGAATAGCGCTCCCTCAATCTCGATGTCTTGCTCTTCACCACCAGGCGGAACAACACGCACAATGATGGTTCCCACACCCTTGATTTCGGCTTTGTTACCGTCGGCAACCGATAGCTCGCCTTCTTCAGATTCGTTGAGCAAAACACATTGGTCTTTGTCGTTGCATATACGATGCGTTCCACCGCTGTCGATTGCCCACATTCCAGTGAAACCGCAAACGCAACGCGGTCATAATCATAGGCTTAGTTAAGTTGATAATGAATGCTATTAGCTCCGGGTCCATGAGCTTGGCCGCCGCGTCGAGCACCTTTGTTGTCATCTTTCTGCTTGATCCTGCACCGCACCATCAAACGCCTTTGCTTCTTCTTCCGTCTTGCACACATTAGCCTTCAAGCCTATCCTCTTGATCGTTTGTCAGCATCTTCACCACATCCTGTTTTTTTTTCTGAGCTCCGTGTTGCTCATCTCCATATTTAGTACAACACTTTCGTAGCACTTGGGTAGCCTGCGTAGTAGGCAGATTGCAATACCCTCGTTCTCCATCTTGGCGCCGATGCTGCTAAGCTCCGCGCTGATGTTGAGAGCCTCGTCGCAGTGATGCAGAACGTTCCCTCCTTCGGCCATTTCCATGCTGAAGAGATGTCGCTTCAGGTAGATTTGACCAGCCTTCTTTGACCCGCCGTATAGCGTCTTGATACACATCCATGCAACCCAGGATTCTTCACAGTCATCAACAACGTAGTGATAATTTGCATCAATGTGCAGAAGCATCAATCAGAACGCGATGTTACTCGTTCTCGCTTATTCGTCCGATGTACTAACATCCGCAAACGCTGGGAAGACTTTGCGGTTCACGACATGCCACACTGCCTTGGTGAGGAACACGCCACGCATGTAACGGCTCCACGTGGAGTAGTTGTCGCCGTGGAACTAACTAATGGACACCTTGGCTGATACGTCATGCGCAGAGGTCATGATTGTACTTGGGTTTATAACCTTTTTAAAGTGTAGAGCGAAGGAAGCTGAAGGGAAGGAGCTGACCGAAGAGACTTGAGCGGTAGAAGGAGAAATTTTAAAGTGAATATATTTTTGATACTTAGTTTACAAACTAGTTGCTACCTTTAAGCCAATTAGTGAACAACACACATTTTACACATAAGGTATCGCACCAGTGTTGTACTTACGTGCGTTCGTATTGGAAAGACGAGAAAAACAAGAACACACCACAGTGTAATTGTTATTCTCGATAGCTTATACGTTTGATTTTGTTTTGAGCTTTCAATTGACGTACTGGCATTGTGGTTTTGGGACTATTTGAAACGATAAAGTATCTTGCTGCTGTCGGCGAAATATCAGCAAGATATAATTTAACAATTTCTAATTCCAATCAATTGAACAATCTATAAGTCAATAATTCGTGGGTCTTTTTTTTCAAATTTTTGGGTCTTTGCTGTTTCTTGCCTACCACATGAGCAGGGTGAATAAGGAGCGCAGGCTTTAGTAATGATGATAAAACAACTACTGTGAGATTACTAAGCAATGAAAAAATTAATGGAGTACTACTAGCTCGTACACATATTATCCCATTAAAGGAAAGACGCAAGCACTCAGCTCATGACAAGGGCGAATTGAGGCAGACTTGAAAAGATTGCTTGTTGCAGATTTCTGGGATATAATTCGAAACTTTTTGCATAGTAATCAGCGCTTTCAATGAAACCTAATATCGAAAGACATTTTCGATTAAGATATCGACATTTAAGTATGACACATCAAATAACAAAACTATCGGCAATTGAGTCAATTAGAATAATAATACGTTGTTGATATGTGAGTGAAATTGATAGACACCCCAAAAACCGCCTGCAACACGATTGTTGATACGAAAAGCGCCAGAACTAAGACAAGAGGCAATAAGAATTGCTCGGTCCGATGGAGAAAGGGAAGTGCTTGAAACAACAAATGACATGTCAGCATCAGACCATCAAATGTATGCTCAACAATGTATTGAAGCAATGCACAATGCACGTACCCATGTATCCAAGAAAAGTGATATATGTATAGAGTCCCCAACTTAACGAATAGAGAAGATTGCCAACCAACAAGATAGCAAACGAATTGGAGACCAGTAGCGGTGCTAGAAGAAACTGGTGCGAGGAGAATGAGCATGTGAGCATCGAAATTATTTCAAGTGACATTGTAAGGCTTACCTGTAGCACATAGAGAAATAGAAACAAGATGAAAAACGAATTGCAGTGAATGTCGAAGGCGAACTGCCACTCTACTCGTTGCTCAACATAAAGTGTTTCACCAATACCATAACTTTTGTCATGATATACGAAAAGATTATGTTAGTTTTTTCTCAATAGTACCCGAAATATTCAAATTTCCACGCACTTGTTCCGTTGACGGAGAAATTGATTAGCAATCCACCAGTAAAGTGTTGATATAATGAGACCCAAACCAAGCCATTCGACGACCACCGCATGAAATAGCAGCATGGCATACTTTGCAGCACTGTCAACACGGAATGCAATGGCCCAGGCCAATGTAGCTACAAGTAAGAAGGCAAATTGAATCACTGCAAAGGCTGGATCATCTCTTGCCCAGCGATTCTTTGTCTGTTTACGAAAATATGCGCTCTTGTAAACCTTTGTGGGTTGTATACAAAGAGTGACCATCTGGTAAAACGTAGCATCGAGGTCCATCTGGCGGTAGTCCAGTACGCGCGTGAAATATTCAGGGAAAGCCGAGCACGAGCGGAAAACATCGGCACCTGCACGCTTACTCTGCCTTTTGTAGTAATGAGTATTAGTTGTGGGATTTGAGTATAATGCGTGTTTCATATCGATACTAGTGCTCGGTTGCTGAAGCCCGTTAGACTGCGCTATGGGCGATAGCATTTCGGGAGGGAGCGATCACGTATGTACTCTTTTAGTGCGCAGCAGAGCAAAATCATATTTTTCCGATACTATATTTCTAAAAGATCTAAATATGAAAACAACTGTGCTAGTGATTTTTTTGTTCAGTTCAATCGCACGAGAATTAATAGCAATAGCTTTGAATGTCTGAAGTAGATTTTGAGATGTAGTTACTCTCAATCACGTAAAGGCTACAGCTATTAACAATACCCGGCAGCATTTCACAAATACGAATTCTACAATTCGTTATTGTTTCCACTGCTGTGCTGCGAGAATTAGGTACCAATTGCTATTAGGTACCAATTGCTTAGTATATTAGTCAAAGAACGATTTTTACGAACCAACACGATTATAATGAGTTTAAAGTTCTAATGAGAAGGTAAGTGCATGTTGTAGATGCTGGACGTGGTTGAGTGGCTGTGGCTGACTAGAAGGATTGTGGAATCGCATCGATGTTAGTAGAAGGTCATCCTGCAACACATGGATTAGCTGTATACACATGGTGCTTTCGTAGACAACGATATAAAAGTTCATATGCTGCAGAGGAAGGTTAGGAAATTTACAATGACAAATATTTTCTTACATTTTGCGCATTACTTCTTCTGGCGTTTATCTTAAAAATAGTAGAAAAACCATTTTTAGATACAAATGCTGATAGCCAGAAATTTACGATGTGCATCGTTCAGATGACCACAACACGACCACAATAATGTTCTAAGCTTTGGAGGTATCATGAACAGGTAGATTATATTTAAATTATATTTTCAATGCGCATATACGTCGAAGGTAAACATGTAAGTGATTATGAACTAAATTGCAACATTGAAAGTTTATAGCTCCTCGAGTACGTTTAAAGAGTTCCAGTGTCATCGATAGGCAAACTTTCCGATTGCCTTGTGTATAGCTACATAATTTCTAGCTGCCTCTCTTCATATTTTTGGAATACTGACCCATAGATGTACTATTGTTGATAAAATAATAATATCAAAAAGTCTAAAATGACCGAGAGATATTGTAATTCTTATACTCTATACTTGTTTCTTAAGCGTAGTAGGCTAACTGGAGACCAGCTTTTGCATTCTTCACGTTATTATGCGCACATATATCCCGCTTTTACGATAAGGTATGGTATGGTTTGGTGAAACAAATTTCACTAAACGTCTGGTATTGAAATTCGCAAGTTCAAATTGCTAAATGTAAAAGTATACTTTTTCCCATCCAAAGATCGATTCTAAACTCATTTCTCAGTATAGATTTTGGTCGCACAAATCTTGAGATTGGAATTGCTATTTTTCTGTACAATTCGCACTAATATATAAAATATTACAAGAGATCTAATGATAAGAATATGACAACATAATATTGGGTTCTATAAATAATACTATTACACATACAATGCGTTTATAAGAGTTTTTCTGACCTAGTCAGGTAAAGAAAGACCAGACAATTGGTTTTACAGCAACATCGTGAACGCACAGAGTCAGTTGCCAATTTGCTCCCTCGTCTCGACGTCTCACTTGCTGTCATTATTGCCATGTTTCGCTATTTGTTTCCGCTATTACTATCATCAGAAACTTTAGCTTTACAGCCTCGCGACTTTCGTATTCCATCCATTGATTTCTTGCAACTTTCAAGTACCATCAATAATGCACACAACTTTGATCTACTCGACAGATTTCAAGAGAATGGAATTATTGCACTGCAAAATGTACCAGGTTTTGCGAGTCTACGACATGAGTACCTTCGTACAGCAGCAACTTGTGCGGTACAAGCTCAAGAGAAAGGTGCTGACTTTCTTTTGCATCGACAATTACGAGATCGTACCAACCGGTACACTGTGAGTCTTGATTCTGGTCGTCAATTGACACAGTCATTCAATCAGAGTCCTGAACTTTTAGCACTCTGTCCGGAATTTGTGGAACTTCATGCAGCTTTGAGTAAAGTTGTGGAATTAGCTGTCACAAATGTTGGTTCGGCTCTTGATGCGACACAAACGTTTAAAATTCAGGCCGAACAAGGAGCTGTAGTTATGACAGCTCGAAAGTTGCTCGAAGATTCGGTACATTTGGACCATTTTCATGCTTATGAAGCTCCTCAAAGCATGAAAAAGATTGAAGATGATTTATTACTTGATCTCAATGATTTGTCGTTAGAGCTGCATACTGACAATGGAGTGATGATTGCTATGACTGCACCGGAATATTTTCAAGTCTCAAGTACTGGTATAGTAGAACTCAAAAATACTTCCAAGGAAGATTCGGGTTTGTTCATTCAGACAGGAAATGGGGAGATTGTTCGTCCTGTATTGTATCCAGATGAACTTATTCTAATGTTGGGATCGGGAATTGAACATTGGATCAAAACGTCACCACCACTTCACTCGGTCTTACACGGTATGCGCTATCCTCGCTCTGTTTCTTTATCGGAAGGAGATCATAGTACCAAGATTTTACGCTCATGGTTTGGTAAAATGATTTTGCTTGATTCGGATCAACAAATGGATAATTCCGGCCTTACTTTTCGACAGTATGCAAACCAGACAACACGATATTTATTACAACAAGGAACAGAAGAGTCCGAACTCTTTAGTACCGTTGCGTGTCCTGGTCATCGTCGATTAGTTGCGTCAGCAAATAGCTGCGCACCAAAAGTCTGTTCACTTAAAAGTACAGCATCATCAAGTGATCTCGAATCTTCGTGTCAAATTACGTGCAATCACGCTGCACCAAAGGATGTTGCTTTATGTGATCAATTCTGTGATTGTCAAGCTTCAACAAGTACTGGAACAACGTGTTGGATGTTGTGTGTTGAAAACATTGCAACGGATGTTTGTCCAGGAGAACAAAAATGCAATTCTGGACCAAAGAAAGAAGATTTGGCAATGACATGTGTTGGTGGTACCACTCCTCCTTCTACCACTCCTCCATCTACTCCTGTAGCTTCTACGACAACTCCCAGCAGTGTACCAAGCTCAGAAACGATACCATCTACAACATCTCAAGAACCTTCGAGCTCTGAGACAAATCCTTCACCAGAAGCTGCTCCTGTAGATGTCACTGAGACCGATACAACTGAAATGGAAACTGGTTCGACTGCTGAATCAGAACTTTCTGATCTGAAAACTACGGAAACAGGTACTTCTGAGTCAGAATTTTCAGATTTGAAAGCAACTGAAACAGGTAATTCTGAGTCAGAATTTTTAGATCTGAACACTACTGAACCAGATATTTCTGCGTCAGAATCTTCAGATTTAAAACTTGACTTAGGATCGACTGATTTAGACCCCGAGTCAATTGAATCAGACACACCTGAATCAGCTACTTCTGAACCAGTAGCATCCAATTCTTCGACAACAATGGACTCTAATATTGTGTCGTCTGCTTCGAATGCAGGTCCAACTACCTCGCCTACAACCGTTGGTGACGACTTTTCAACGGAAGAATCTTCAACTGCCGATCAGACTTCCGACTCTTCGTCGACAGTACCATCTTCATCGGCTTCAGACTCGTCAAGTGCGAGTATTATCCTGTCTTCAAACTCTTTTTACGTTGTTGCTGCGGTGGCAACGTATATTTGCATCCATTATGGATGAGAACTTTCAGTTTGCAGTCATCTCTGCTTCTTTTGATGTTACAATCATCGATTTTCTATAAGAAAAATACTTCAAAGCAGCTATTTGTATTACTGTCGGCCTTTTTGATCTAATGCTATATTGTCGATGACCTAAGAAACTTTGTATGAGTTTCAGATATATCACCCAACAAGACCTCAATAGTAAAATATTGACAAAAATATCTGAAAGAGTGAAACACAATTTGGTCTACGTCACAGCAGTATAAAACGTCTACTTTGCTTGTAAATTTTTGGCTTCTACGACGATTTACTTCATACATGCATAAGCAAGAGTCGATAGATAATTGTATTTGCGATGCTTGCGTTCATGTATGGCGTATGTGCACGATTCTTTTGCGGTATTTTAGTGCCAACAAATTTGCTTTTTTGCACAATATTTACATTTAAAAATTTGTGATTATTCTACAACAATTCACCCAATATGCTCTCTTTATATAAATTTCAACTTTGTGATTGAATTATATATAATAGCTAATATTTTTTATTGGACCCTCTTTAAACAAATTAACCAAAAATACCTTTTATCTCCCTAATGGCGGTTGTGGACGTAAAGCACCGACTGAGTGGCTTTAAGCGAATTCTACTCCAACTTGACGAAAGCATACGCTTGAAATGTTGTAGTCATGCACTTCAAGAAGATCTTCAAAGTGTATTAACTCAAGTTCATGCATGTGCAAGTGCTATGGAGGAAGCAAAACAAGTGGAAGATGCGACATCTAAACTTCATGCTAGTCAAAGTGCAATGGTATCAAACGAAGTTTTAATGGAGTTAGAAAAGCTTGATGAACAGATTGAAAGTACGATGAATATCATTGTACCTCAAAGTACTTTGAGATCTGCTAATGAGAATCGAAATCAAGTGAAGAAGATGAAACTTCCTGTAGTTTTGGATGCCAAGACGCTGGCAAAGGAAATGATAGTGACTCAAGATATTAAAGTTATGGTGAATTTAATGCAAGAATTTGAAAAAATGATGCCGGTGATAAACGAGATTGAAGACAAGAGAGCAAAGTGGTGGAAGAAATACGTTGCCAAGGTATTATCTCATACTTCCAAGCTTGTTCAAACGAATGAGAAGAATATCAAATATCAATTGCAATTATCTACGTCTTTAAAAAAGATTCAAGTCAAGTATCCAGAGCTAAACGATCCTCTTTTGTAAGTGTTGCACTTGAATAATGATCTCGTTTGATTCATCTACTAACCGAAAGTTTGATTTTGTAGAAATCAATTAGAGGACATAGTAGCAAAACAAGACAAGGAAATTGAAAAAACATTAGCATCAGTCAAGAGCAAGAAGAGACGAACAATTGATTCGTCAACTGATGGGCAAAAGGTGACAATGAATGCTCAAACGTCTGTCCAGTCGAAACAAAATGAGTTGAAAGGTCATGAGACTTTGAAGAAGGCAGATATTGCATTAGATGGCACAGCACAAAATTTACTATCTCGCTGTTCACGAGAAGTGCGCACACTGCGTGAAAAGTTTGAATTGGGCGCGTACGACGTGAATTTAAGTCGTATCGTGACAGTTGTGGACTCGTTATGGTCAAATATGGAACATGCTGACGTTATTTCGCTCACTACTGCGCTATTCACATTAGTGGAGATTGTCGAGAAAGTTGTGAATCCAACAAAGCGTCGAGATCGACTCGTGTGTCTAGAGAGCGTTCTTGGTGTCGTATTGAATTCGTCAAAGCTGCACTTGACTGCACGGCGGAAAACAATGACAGAAGAGTATGCAAGCAACTGCCGCCAGTCAATTGAGCAGCTCAATCGCCTGTTAGATAGTAGAGAGCGACCTTCAAGCCAAGGAAATAGACGGAAAACGGCAAAGGCAAATCCTAAAAGTGTGCGACCTAAATCGCACGTTCGGTTCGGCTAGCACTATAACGTTGACTTTTTCTTGCTCTTTTGTTGTGAAATAAGGTTCGATGTCTTTTTTTAAGATAGATACAAACTACTCGCAAAGACAACGTCGCGCTTGATAGATTCCGATGCAACTTCCATCTTGCGATAGAGCTGTGGGTCGCCAATCACGCGAGCAGCGTTGCGAACTTCACGACATACTTCATCGAGACGGGTAATACAACGCACGATCGCACCTTCCTGGACATCAGTTAGCTCGCATAGTTGCTTGAAAGGCATACCGCGTGCCCACTCGTATACGATCTCCATTAAACCAAAATTCAGTGCTCCTTTGCAATAAACTGCTGGGTCGACTTCTAGCTGATGTTCCAGTTGAATCAAACCAAGCGACTCAGCAATGGTCTTAATCACATTGCGTGTATCCTCAAGGGTAGGAGTGAGCGTTGGTTCGGATTGTGTTTTTTCTTGAAAGATCAAAGCAGAAAGCACGGCCACGATTTCTTCAGGCTCGAGATTTGCCAGCACGTTTTCAAAAATCATTTCAGTCAAGACGAGTTCTTCGCACGTGTTAATCTCACATGCCACTCGTCCTTTCACTTGCACGACACCATCTTCCGAGATGTAACCAAGTCGTTTCAACACACTTAATCGCTGTTGAAAGTCAGGAAAGAGTGAGAGAGAATCGTCCGACAATTCCTGGGTCATACGCTTCAAGTACGCCTTTAGCTTCGAAATTTTCTCGATCTTATTCATGACTCGAGAAATTCCTGACGAATCGGTAGCACATGGATGAGTGAGTACCTTTGAGTAAAGTCGTTGCCATTGTGAATAGCCCGACGCGACTTCGAGATTGTTCACTTTAAGCTCACCAAGCAAGTCGACGTACGGAATTGCTGCATTCTGTGTTGCAGCGCAATTCGTTTCGAGCTTTGTGAGAAATTCAATGCTGCTAGCAAGTTCCTTTTTCGAAGACGAAGTCACGAGTGTTTTAATGTTTATATTTGCGGCAAAAAATGACGTTACACTCTCGACGCAGCTTTCTGGCACTTCTAAAACAGCATATTTTCTCCCCAATAGTGTGGCTGTGGATGGTGCAATAAGTTCCACTTCGTTTTCTTTATCAACTTGATGTCCTTCAAGCATACGTTCATCTTCAGTATCTCTTTTGCTACGTAGCATTCGACCACCACCGATAAGACTGTGTGGAATCTTTTGAGTCTCAAATTCTTTCGCGATCTTTGTCTCGTAGCTATCAGGACAAAGAGTAATGACCATTATTGACTTGAATACTCCTGTATGACTGACAATTGTACTTTGCATTTCGGTCTCAAACGAAAGTTTGGACCGAGCAGTGTTTCCTTCACCCATGGCAGCAGTTGTACGAACGACTAGAGCCAATTGATCAGATGGTAATCCTTTGACGTTAAGGATAATTACTCGTCCAGGTGCAATAGCATTCTTGGCAGCTTGAATATGATTCGCAAACAGCCATCTCGTCAGCTTTCTTTCAAGCTCTTGCTTCTCACGTTTGAGCTGAAAAAACTCATACATTCTTGCAAGCTCACCACTTGCATTTAAATGTGGATAATCCTCGACAAGCGAAACCTCAAGCTGTTGCAGTAATGTTTTGCCTTTTTGAATCAACTTTGGAATATTTTTTGAAGCAAGTGCCTTTTGAGTGTGGAACTCTGAAAACGATCGCTTCATCATGTCCTCAACTGTCAATACTTCCACTCGTAATAGGTTCAAAATCATATTGTACGTCAGACGAAATTGACTTGAAAGCGATGTTGCTTTCCCTGCTAACATCGTTCGTAAAGACGTGGGCTCAGGGACATCATTCCAGCACGCAATGATGACAGTACCGACGGAATCCAGTCCACGACGACCCGCACGTCCAGCCATTTGTGTATATTCTCCAGGCAAAAGATCACGGAAGTTTTTGCCATCGTGCTTACGAATACCATTGAATACAACAGTACGAGCAGGCATATTCACACCCATAGCAAAAGTCTCTGTTGAAAACAAAACCTTGACAAGACCACGACCAAACAAAATCTCAACCATCTCTTTAATAATTGGAAGCAGTCCACCATGATGCACACCAATTCCACGTTTAAGCATTTCTTTCATTGTAAGAACTTGTGGTAATTCACGATCCGAACCTTGTAATCGTTGTATGCTGGATTCAAGAAAAAGGTGAATTTCCGACCGTTCGGATGGAGTGCTTAGATCAAGTTTTACTAACTTGCTTGCGCTCTCTTCGCATAGACGTTTACTAAAAGCAAAGACCACCACTGGTAGCAAAGACTTGTCTTTTAACGTATTGATTAGTTTGGTCCATTCTCCTTGATCACCCCCTGATGTGCGAATGGTACGGGCATTAGCACTACTCCCACCACCACGTGCAACAATTTTACCACCTCGACCATTAGTTTTTGATTTCTCTGATGCTGGTAAAAGCTTCGCTTTGGCTGCACTATGTGCGTTTGGAAGATATCCAGTCGTGGCATCATATAACTTGAAAAGCTCTTTTCCAGCGTAGAGAAAGTGTTGAAGAGGGACTGGACGTTTGTGCGTCGAGATCACGTGAATCTTTTGCTTCTTTGTTCGACCAATCCAATCGGAAAATTCCAAGTGGTTTGGTGTTGTGGCTGAAAGGAATGCCATGCCAATGTGTTCAGGAAGCATAATAATTACTTCTTCCCACACAACACCACGCTCACTGTCATTGATGTAATGAATCTCATCAAAGATCACCCATTCAATATCGCGAATGATGTCCGCACCACGGTACAGCATGGAACGTAAGATTTCGGTTGTCATGACCAAACAGCTCGCATCGGGATTAATACTCACATCACCTGTAATAAGACCAACATTATCCGTACCAAACTTGATTCGAAAATCTCGGTACTTTTGATTCGACAAAGCCTTGATTGGTGATGTGTAAATGGTTCGTGTCATATGCTTCTGAGACATTGCAATCGCATATTCAGCAACCACAGTTTTTCCTGCAGATGTATGTGCAGCTACAAACACGCACTCATGACGTTCTAAGTGAATAACACACTCTTTTTGAAATCCATCTAGTTCAAAGTCATACTTCATGGCCATTTCTGGTACTTTTTCATGAAAATTACGAATATCGACACTCGCCATACTCGCCCACTCTGATGTCTGATTACCATTTCTTTTCGCTAACAACGATAAAGTGGCCGACTCTGAAGCAGTACTCAAAATCGTCTCTAATTCAGTCTCAAGGTCCATCTCGCTACTGGATTCTGTACTTAATCGCTTTGGGTGAGATACCATTATTTTGTCCTTCTCAGCCACTTCAGCTGCACTTAATTCAACAACAGAATCTTCGTCAACTTCCTCCTCTGTATTTCCAATCGAAAATCCAAGTTCTATCAATTCTCCATCTTCATCCATCTCTTGCAACAATTGGTCGAGTCCAACCCTCGCATTCTCGCTATTCTTTCGCATGCCATCCTCAGTCTTTTGATCTAACACTGCAGTCTTGATCGCTGCTACTTGATCTTTATCTGCTACCACATCAAAGTATGGCTTTAAAAGACTTGGTGGATTCACGCCAATGCTCTCCACCTCCACAACTTCAACCACATTATGTTTTTCAATCTTTTCGACATCTTCTACCGTTAAACAGCCATCGAGTCCTGGAATCTTAAACACTAATTTTTCTAACTCAGACCTCTCCAAGCTTTTGTCTCCATCTTCTAGTACAAGCAGGTTTCGCAACTGTTCTTCTTCATTTTCTAGCAATTTCTGTAGACAATTCTGCTCCTCTTTCTTTTCCTCCGTGTCTACTACCACTAAAGACTCTCCTCCTGGAGAAAATGGTTTGTTACTCATCGTTCCTCGAGCGTATTCCTCTTGCTTGGTCAATGCACTGCTAAATCCTGCATCTGCTCCTGTCTTCGAGATGTCCACGGCTCGAAATTCGTACTGTATATTGAGCGGATCCTTGACTAATGAACTTCGCGTAGGAACGAGCTTTCGACGCGGTGTAGATAGAGGCATCTGCGCCAATAGTCGACTTTGCGGAACCGTAACCTTCGGGTTACTCTTTAAGGTGCTGTTCTTCCAGCCGTGTGGAAATGCTCCTAGACGCTCAATTGCATATAGTGGGCTTGCTATCTCTTCCAGCTTCTTCTTTACTGTCGATCGGTCTCCATATGAAGATACTATGCGTACAGGAGGTAGTGCAAATGGTGATTGAGGCGAAGGAGGTTGCTCAGACTTGTGGGGTACAATCAATACTGCCTCGGGAGCTAAAGTAGAAGCAGATAACACAGAAAATTGATCGAAGGCGACAATTGATGAAGGAATAGATTTCGGTAAATCTTCTTCCTCATTCAGTCGCAAAAGCTCGGTCAAGGCGCGATCTACTGCTGCCATGTTGGTGGTCATTATCAATATATAGTAATTTATGATGAAAGATAACCCTCTTCATTTAGTATTGAATATTGTATACAAAAGGCAACCATATGATGGCTATGGATGAGGCGGAAGAGTTGGCAATGCGCTGCTGCGTGTGTGGTACATCGGATGAGGTGACGTACAAATATACCATAAAATACATGCTATATCCAACGTAGCTTCGATATGGCACATTCTTCTTCGTGTCTTCATACTTGCAGCCGCGTTCACACATTGCACAGTAACTAACTTAACTCAAAGATGAAGATACTCATCTTCAAGTGTGGTCACCGATTGTGCGTGCACGTATAACCTCTACTGAAAGATGCAACCGTGTATGTATCTGCCAGCTGTGATCATTGAGACTTTCGGCACCATGTTGAAAGTCAGTGAAAAAGTCACAGTCACAAGACAAGACCATGAAAGAGCTCAAATTTTCAAGAAGCGTCAGCACGTGACTAAGAACGCTCACGTTATGATGACACTAAAGAGGTCATCAAGTAACATTTTTATGTTGAGAGTGATGATAAGACAGAGGACGATTTTGAAACGCTTGACAAGGCCAATGACTTCTTGGAAATATTCGAGTTTTTGTAAAAGTACATGTATACGACCACGAGATCTACGTTTGTTATCTCAACATTGATTATCTTTATCTTTGATTTGATTTACGGCGACGATGCTGAGAAGGCGGCTTCAAAGAAACAATGGAAAAGACAAGAAAACGCTTTTGTCATTGCAACGAATGATGCCAAGGAAGCAGATGAAGAGCGACGTATGGCACAAATAATTTCCAAGCTACAACGACTAGCAGACGAGCGACGACAGCTTCAACAAAGAGGAAACTTGCGATTTAAAGCAGATCTGGAGCGTCAGAAAGCACAGCTTATGGAGGCACTGGGAGAAAATAATGAAAGTGGTGTGTTCAAGTTACGCACAACAACCACAGCAATTTCAATCAATTAAGCTGTTACAGCAGAGGTGGGGGCAGCAATGATTGGCTTTCAGCCTGGTGTGATTGGTAGCCCACAACCCATAAATGTACCCGGAGGCAAGCGTGGACCGAATTTGGTATCAACGAGTCGAAAAAACTCCGTCGTCAACAGCAAGTCTAATTTTTGCTCACAAAATCCAAATGACTTTTCAAACAATACATGATTGCAAGAAATATTATGCTATGCTATAAAAGTTACGATACTTCTTCTCAACTTCGTATCCCAACTTTAATTTATTTCGCTTTCATCAATCGGAATCTTGTCCATAGTCATTTCGTTTAGCCTACCCGCTAGATCGGCAATGCGCTTTGGAATTCCATTTGTAGCTCGAAGTGCCGGGTGCGACGCAATAAGTTCAAGCTTGTCTATCGACGTCGGAGCACATGCGTGCTTCAATTCTTCAACACGAATAGGTCGACTCATTAAACTCACCAGCATCAATGTCGCACTTTTCATGTCAAACTTCGACAGCGTGTATAATCGTTCACCGTGTCCACGAACAGCACCGTCTGCACAGATAGAAGTTCGTGCAGTTAAAACAATTTTCAAAAACGCATTATTTGTCAGAATGTCAGACAAAAAAGCACGAAAACGGTCCCGCCGGGAGTCATTACGTAGGAGATAATCGCACCCGTCCATGACCATTAGCATTTGCTGACCGTTAAATTCAATTCGGGCTTTATGTTGTTTAAGATGATTCGAAACCATCGTCTCTAACCGACTAATAACGCGACATCGGCCATTCGCAATATTGATGTTTCGTCGCATCACGCCCACGTGGTCATCCATCACGTCTTGAGCTAACTTTGCAACATGAAAGATGCGAACTCCACCTTCCGAAGTAAAACGCGGTCCTACGTAATTTGCAACCGCATGAGCCACAGATGTCTTGCCAATGCCTTCCTCGCCGCAAATAGTAACGAGGCGAGTGATACGAGACTGCGTCATCAAAAGCGCCAGACAAATTTTGTAAACTTCGACGGACCGGTTGCAAAACCCTTGACACATTGCTGGCAAGTCATCAAACCAAAGCTTCGGGTATCGTTTTTTCTTCATTGGCTCAAGGTTAATAGTTTGTGAAGATTCGACTGCTGCTAGTGGAAAGATAATCTCGGAGTGATCTCCATCTTCAGGAAGCAACATGAACTTTTCAGCAACTGCCATTGGTCCTCGAATATTCGGAGATTTTGCCACCGATTGTTGAGCTATAGTAAAGCTTGCCCCCACCTGCTTACCAGTCGCAAGTGCCAAGTAGAATGCGCGCGTGAATTCAATTGCTGCATAATCTTCAATCTTTTGGTTTGTACGTACTCCAATGACATGTGGAATACCACAAGCCACGAACGCATGCGCCAGCGGAGCAGACGAACACGCGGATACAAACACCAGACGCAGTGTAGACTCTCCCCCATCACCTGCAGAAAAAAGTTCTTGAAGTCCTTGATGCGGTATCGGATGCACCAATCCCATACCATCTTCAAAATAAAGATGATTCTCGTCACCATGCCCTGAAAAATGAAGTGCTCGACAACCAAGCGTCACCATTGCTCGAAACGTGTTGGTGTTTGCAAACTTAGCTACCACACTAATTTGTCTGGGGCACTGGTATACCCTAGATGATGTGCCGAGACCGTTATCATTAGCTGCAGCAGGACGCTTTGCAAACTTGGACGCTTCTGTTAAGCTCTTCTGCAGTATTGAGTACTCTCGTTTGACATCAAGCTCTGCAATAGGATGGTACTTGCCATGTATGTCTTTCCCCACTATTGGGGCCGAAAACAAAACACCTAGCGTGTACTCCTGAATATTTGGTTCCTGCTGCGATTTATCTTGCGAGTCAGCCAAATTCGTGTTTTGATTGCCCTTGGATCTCTCCAGTGAGTCTCGTTCATGTGGGTCTTCCACAACATATCCAAGTAGTACATTCCCTTGACGTGACGACAATAGCGTGATCTTCTGTCTATTACTCAGCTTATATTTTTTGTTTTTGAGCACTTGCACTCCATCAATTCTGATCCCATTCGTACTTTTATCGGTGATAAAGACCGCGTGTTTGTGCGTTTCTGGGTCGAGTGCAGTCTCAATAACACAATGAACTCTGCTTAATTTGACGGGGTCAACCCCAGAATTCTTCTTATCAAATATACCGACGAAATTATCTCTTCCAAGTGATACTCTTGGTGTGAGCATCTGCATCTCTATTCGGTACAATCCACTTTTTTCCAGTGCATTCTTTTGAAATGCTGTCACAGCTTTATCAACTTCTGGGTGTAGCACGAGCCGCATAAGACACAACGAGGGACTATCTTCCTGTGTCTGCGTGCACTCTTGCGTATTCTGTTGTGAAATACTCATCGCCTCCAACAAATTTTGCGAATTCTCTTTCATGACTTCAAATTGCTCCTCTCTGTGATCAGCAACTCTCGGAACTCTTTCCGATTGCGTGCTGTCGTATGTCACTTGATTCATTTTAATTGTCCCTGGCAGCGTATAACATGTCACTCTTGAGCGCTTATTTGGCTGCCCAATAATATTGAGATGACCGCCAATATTATTGAATTCGGGCTCCTGTTCTGGATCTCGCGCGTTGCGGCCGCTCCACGATGACGACAACGCGGATATTGACGACGCAGAAGCAAAATTGCTGCCACTTCTAGAGCCAAAGTTTTCAGCCGCAAACATCTGAAGTACCGACGGTGACTTCGAAGCTGCTCGTAATCTTGAAACGTTAAGTAAACTTGAAGGTACACGGGAGACAGAGGGTGAGAGGCCACCAAGTACATCAACGCGACGCTTACGATTGCTCAAAGTTTCTGCAGGAAGTATATTGCCACCATCCGTGAAAGGTCTCATAGGTGTGGGAGCTGAATAGACGCTACTGCGCACACCATCGTCAGCCATAAAGACGCCGTTTCCTTTATGAGCTTTTGGTATGTATAACAATGCATGATTGAGACAATCTGATTGGGTAAATAACTGCTTGAAGAGTTGCAGAGTACATCTCTGAATAAGAATATCGATTGAGCCAGAGAAATAATAACAAGAGTATTAGATTGCATGAGAAAAATTTCGACTTTTGAGGCTGACAATCATCATTTTTATTTTGAATTGGCCAGAAATGCTGCAAGTATTATTCTCACTCAGACGAACAAGCTCCGTTGCGAGCCACACTGGCCTCAACAGCGACTTTTCCGGTTCTTGGGTACGCTCGGAATTTGGCAAGTCTATCGGTCATCGAAAGTTGGATATATCACCAATGCCTCGAAAACTACCCCATTACGCGAGAATCCATTTGCTTCCCGCATGATCCCACGCTGAAACAAAAGCTTTTGGTTCTCTTGCATGTAACGTTGGTCTGTGTGACTTTGTACGAGCTTATCATCCCTGTTTTTGTCGAAAGTGTGGATTTGAATGCTTCATAATGTGCAATTGCGCCAAGTGTTCAAAGAGACCGACACATGCAAATCTTAAAAGCAATGCAGGTAGTTGCAGGATTTCTTGAGCTCTACGAACCGACTTCAGAAATTCCACAAGGACCAAATCTAGCAATTCGTACCGTGCAATACGTGGTAGCAACGGTAACACCTACAGCCGGCTTGCATATTTTTTAAGGATCGTGAAATACGGGGCGTAGATGAAAGGTTTTGATGAGCCAGTATGCAGCGGGGCTGCCGTAGCTAAGCGCTTGAGGAAGCGTACTTCAGGTCACCGACCTTTCGTTCTTTACAACACTCCAACTTAAGTGAGCGGATCGCAATCCGCTTACTCCAAGAGTGATGATTGCCTTTCCAAGGCTTGTTGAATCTTCGGTTATAATTGAAAGTTGATTTTTATTTACTTTTTTATCCATATTTTAGAGGTTTATATTTTCCTAAATATACTAAATATGTACAGTAAAATCTAAATACATGCATAACTACTGGCTACCTAGCCCCGTACCGTATTCCTGTTTGGGTGTGGCACACCATGCACATCTCGTGTGACACACACCCCTGTTATCAGGGTTTGTGTAACCCCGTTAAACCCTCCCCCATTGAGATTGAGAACATGTACAGTTCCAATCGATTATTGCCTCAACAAGGCTCACGTGTCCGTTAGACAGTGCAACTCAATTTGTTGGAATTGAACAACTTCCTTGCTCAATGAGCCCTATGCCCACGAGACGAAAATCACCAAGTCTTGCTGGCTCTGATAGCGAGAACGGGCAGAGCCCAACTTCGTCTCCCGCACTCGGTGCAACGTCGGACAGTTCGTCCGTAGCACCGAGGGATTTATATCCTAAGCGCAATGAACACAAGAGTCGCGCTCCGCGCACGCTATCAGTGACGAACGACCTCGTTGAGGATGTGCGGTTGGTCAACTACGAATCTGACACCTCTTTTCCGGCATGGAATGACGAGAAGGCGAGCTGCATCAGCAGCGTGGTACGAGCCCTGCTCGCGCCTTGCTTACCCTATGTCTGTTCCCTGACTTCTCGTTAACCAAGGGACGTGGTGTAAACACCAATCACCTCGACGAAGAACAGAGGCGGCAGCTCGAAGCTGCCCATAAGGCGGCTCTAAAGCGCGCCCATCCACGGTCGGTCATTGACCCTCCTGTGGAATATGGCTTCCGCCCAGCGGATCCCGCTGTGGAAGCGAAGGGCGTGGTAACTCGATTGTTACGCGTCCACATCATCCGGACCCCGGCCAGAACGGATGATGAAATTGCCACACGGAAAGCTCTTCGAGCTCGTTTCTTGGTCATACAAGAAATTCCGTTAGACGTTTATCGCACTCGTCTAAGTGATCAACGAGGTGGCTCTCGTGTACTCGCTGTGCGAACAATAGCTGTAGTGCTCGCCACAGATGACGAAGCGCTCCTTGAGCGATGGGTGCAACGGCACCGAAAACTTTCCTCACTGCACATCCTGCAGTTGCGCCACAAGGAAGTGGACGTGCGTGTGGAGCGACACCTCCGATTTGAGTCTGCCAAACTCAAGGCACGCCGTCGACTTCCTTCGATTTGTCGTCCTGCGACGTATGGGTTAACCCCTAATGCTCCCGCGAGCTCTTTGTCTTCGACCGCAAAAGCTCAGGGCCACTGCTTGAGCTCGGCTTGTGGCCCTTCTACTTCCCTGACTATTGCCGGGAAGCACGGGGCGTCCTGATCTTTCCGATCAAAAGCGTGCACGGCGACTGGACAATCTTGCCGAAGTGGCGCCTCAAACTCCCACGAGTGTTCGGGGTCGGAATATCCCCGCCACTTCACCAGATATTGGGTTTGACCCTGGTGACGACGTCGTCCAATAAGACGTTCTACGTGATAGTGGACGTCACCGTTCTCACCGAGAAGAGTTGGTGGCGGGCGGTGACGACCGGGTCGACCGCCGTCCGGTGATCCATGATGCTCTTCGAGCCCTCGAGGACAAGGTCCTTCGTAATCGGAGCACCGCTGATCGTCATGCTGAAGTGGCATATCGCTGTGCGGACGCTCTTGACGATTTAAAGCTCGTCGTGCACCGGCTATCTCGCCTTGAGAATTACCGCTATCTGTCGGAGCGACTCCTAGCCGTGGGGCAGGCGAATGCATCGCTGCAGGCAACGGTGGAGCGCTTAATTCCATTGGAAATGGAGGTTGTTGCACGCCGTGCTCAGAACCAGTTGCTGGTTCAACTTCTGGGTGGCGCGGGCCGGTGGGATCCTCTCCGGCGCCAACGCTTCCGCGTTCACATGCTCCGGATTCCGTTACGGCTTGAGCAAGCCCACGTAAAAACCGGGTGGGTGCTCATCCGTTTCGGAAGGTTCAGCGTGTACGCCAGGCCCCTTCTGGTCACAACCTTAAACGGTCCGATAAACCGTGGACGAAGCTTCTTCTGAAAGATAGCAGAGGCTGCATGTTTAGGCAGGTTTTTTTAATGCAATAAAATCAGGTCCCCGACCTCAAAGCTTTCCGCTTTGCCTCTTCCTTTTTCATCTGCATGTTG